ATGAGAATGACACTGGCAGCAATGAAAGCAACAATGCTAGTGATGAAAATAATACATCTGATGGGGGAAAAGCATAACAGTTTGAGGATACTCCTGGGGATATACCTGATGATGCAACTAAAAGTGATATTCCAACTCCAGAGGAAAAGAATAAAGAGACAGGAAACTGCAGAAGAAAACAAAAAAGAAAATACAGAAGAGAAATCTGAAGAAGAAAACAAAGATGAGCCTAAGTCTGAAGATGAATCCAAGGGTGAGAAGGACAATAAAGAAGATAAGAAAGAAAATGGCGAGTTGAAGGCTGATGATAACAATTCTGAAGAGGAGGAAAAAACTGAAAGCAAGTCTGGTGGAAATTTGTATGGTGTATGCAAATTTGATATCTCTCTTTCTAAACTCTTTCACTGCAATATGCAAAAATATGGTATTTAGGGGCTTGGAAAGTTTCTGTGTATGATTGGGGGATAATATTATGTATGTGGCTGTATGTATAGGTTAAAAAACTTTTAATATTTTCCTTATGCTCTTCTTTATATATCCCTATTGAAAAATACATTTTGTTTGGTTTTGTTGGAATTCAACTATCTGCAATGGACTAGCAAATCTGCTTCTAGTATTGCATTTCTCCTTTGTTATTTTTGGCTTTAATTAAATCTCATCTACATTCAAACAATGTATTTCAGTTTTTCTGTAATTATTGTATAGTCCTCTTTTTTTTAAATATTTGTTTAATCATGGTGTTTGCATTTACGACCAAATCTGTGTGCGTTGGCCAACCGAATATGATTTTAGTTCTGTATTTTCAGCTTGACATTTGTTGCTACATTACAAACTTGTTTCATTCTGCGGGAGCACTGCAATTCTTCCATCATTTCTGTAATTATTGTACACTGTTTAACTATTTTTTTATTAAATTGGGTTATTCATGGTGTATGCATTATTACGATACAGCGTGTGCATGACTAACCGAATATGATTTTAGTTCTGTATTTTCTGCCTGACGTTTGTTGCTACATTACAAACTTGTTTCATTCTGCCGGAGCAGTGCAATTCTTCATCATTCCTGTAATTATTGTACATTGTTTAACTATTTTTTATTAAATTGGGTTATTCATGGTGTTTGCATTTACGACCAAAACTGTGTGCATTGGCCAACCGAATATGATTTTAGTTCTGTATTTTCAGCCTGACGTTTGTTGATACATTACAAACTTGTTTCAGGAACAGTGCAATTTTTCAATCATTTCTGTAATTATTGTACATTGTTTAACTATTTTTTATTAAATTGGGTTATTCATGGTCTATGCATTATTACGATACAGCGTGTGCATTGGCTAATAATTACAAGCACAATTTTTTTAGTACTGCATTTTTACTTGAATTAATTTTGACTCTTATGTATACTTGTTTCATTAAAACAATGCAGACTGTTGGTGAAATCTTAGATGAGAAGACAGATGTGTTAGACGTGGCGCTGGATGATATCACGCGCTTTATTTAGCTACACCTGGATTGCTCCACACGTACAGATAGGGTCGTGCGGGTATTGACTGGGGCAACAGTATTTCGTACCACCAGGACTAACAACCATGGCATATTCCTTTTCTGATTCGTTTTCACCACTGGGTCCTGTACCGCACAAATATGTAACATATTTTGAGTTACCGAATACATTTTTATATCACACGTCATCATTAATTCAATGCACTCATGGATCTTAGTGTGGGTTTATAATAATATTAAATGTTATACATCTTCTCATCTCATTACGTATCAAGTACATATGTTACAAATAACAACAACAATAGCTACTTTCGCGTAGGTGGAATGTAACTTGCACAAGCTTAACAGTTAACTTGCACACTTCTCCTAACAATCAACCAGGTAGGCGATAGATAAACACTAAAGGTGTACAGCACATCAGAGTTTTCATTTCCTTCTCAGAAATATTAAATACGCATGTACTCAATACTCATACTCAGTTTTATGCACAAGCTAACCCAACCGAACGCACAAACATGTATATCATATTAATTCATGCATGCACTAATCCACACACCAACTGCACACACACACCTAGATCGTTGCAAACCATCCCTCCAAGTAAATTCTTATTCCCATGACGCACAACCATCCTTCACCAAAAAAAAAAAAAACAAAAAAAAAAAAAACTTATACACCCAAAAAATCATCAAAAAATTTTGAAAAAACGACCCAACAATGATATTGCAGTTTTCCGGGCTACCCGATGGTACTGCACAAACAAATGAAATACACACATACCTACATACACAAACGCACTCACGTAATCAAAATCTTTTTACTACTACGTAACACAATATTCATTAAATTATTTGTCTCTCATACACACAGGAGTTACTCAGAATGCACACACAAATGCTTGATATATTACCACTTCCTTGAATGTAACTTGCACAGCCTTAACAGTTAACTTGCACACTTCTCCCAACAATCAACCAGGTAGGCGATAGATGAACACTACAGGTGTACAGCACATCAGAGTTTTCATTTCTTTCTCAGAAATATTAAATATGCATGCACTCAGTACTCATACTTCATCATCTGCACACACCCTAACTATCACACGCACGCCATATACATAACCAATCCGTATATCAAAATAACAAATAATTTGCACAGGCTTAACATCATACTTGCTCTCGTCAAGCACCATCAATGCAGTGAGCTGGTAGAAGAAAACTACACAAATTAACCACGTTCATACTATACAAGTTTTTTCACAAATACGAAGCTATAACAACGTTTCGCACAATCTTCCATGTTAACAACCACCACCGTTTGATATCAAAACACCCCTCGCGGTGCATATGAAGCTATGAACAACGCACGCGGTACCTATATTATGTAATACGAATTCAACAACACGCCACACGAATGCACTCATTAAACAATCTTAAACAAATGCACAGACTCAACCCGCACAATGCACACCCTAACGACAACAAGTGCATACACCTAATACCATTATCAATCACTAGACTAGATCCGTTGCACATACCTAATTCCGTACTCGCCATCAATGCTGTCGCAAAAAATGGCTACAGCATTGGGTTTTTGCTCACGGTGGCTGTAGTATAGCTCTCCCCAATATTTCTAATTTATATTACCATTAATATATGTCTATTCATATGGAATATATTCCAATTTGTTTGTAACCAAAAATAACAAGAATATTGCAATTACTTCTTCACCCTTATGAATACATTACTACCTTAATTGCATTGCAAATCTCTTTAAATCTCACCCTTCTATTTGTCATGATTTAATGGATGAGATTAGATCTCATAATCTCATCCATCTAGGTGACCTCATGGGACCCGGAGCATATATATATATATATATATATATACATATATATATATATATATATATATATATATATATATATATATAGCAAAATATTTAATTATAAGTAAAGAGTTCCATTTGGATAATATTTATATTTAATATAAATATTTAGGAAAATACGGGGTGTTACAGTAGAAGTTTTTTATCTTTTCTGTAGAACATCTATTCGATGTTGAGCCTCTTCTTGAGCCAGTTTCTGATAATGCCCCTGGGCAGAAACACGTTCACGAACAATGTTCTCCCACTCAAGTGCCTTATTCCCAAAATATTTCAGGAATGCACCGGCCCTGTTCCCGTCTTCCGGATCAACAATGGTTGCCGGAGTTACGTCACTGTCAATGTCCCCAGCCATCATCATCAGCGAAGACGTATCATTAACAGACATCCCTTCCAGAAATTCTTGATAGTTCGAGATTACTGTATGATAATCTCATCTCGCAGAGTTGGGTCGGGCTTTAACTTGTTCTTCATAGCCAAAGATATAAGCGATTTTACATGCTTCAATGCATCCTCAGAAGAATGATCCTGCATATACACCTTGATCATCATATTTCTCAAAGCATCTGCCATGGTTTCTGAGTGTTTCTCGGAGCGAAGGTGATTGCGATTTTGAACCCTAGGTGAGAGAGAGGCTTTTTGAGAGATTGGGAAGAGACGGATGAGCTAAACCTTTGAGGGTTTTGTGTTTAAGTGAACTCGGGTAGTGTATGGAGAGAGAAGATGCAATTAATGCGATTTGATATGATTGACATGCAGATAGGATGTTACTGTTCAAACGCTACGGCAAAATTTACGGAGCAGAACAATTTTGACAAATTAGAGATCTTCAATTTAAAAATCCAATCAACGGACCAGATCAACACTTGAAGATGGGCAACTTTAACTGGACTAGACTTCACATAGCAAATAATAACTTAGAGGATAACTCTTAAAACTTCTATCTCATACCCTTCTTCTGATTAGTAGACTGACTTACTCATCTATGCGGCAGACTCACAGAGCAGACCTGAGAATCTCAAACCAATTTGCATCTAGTGGTTTTGTCAGTATATCTGACAGTTGTTTATCAGTCTATACATATTGCAGCTCGATCTCTTTGGATTCAACAAGATCCCTAATGAAATGGTGTCTTATGTCGATGTGCTTAGTTCTCAAATGTTGAACTGGATTCTTTAAGTTGTTTATGGCACTCATATTGTCGCAATAGAGTGTCATAGATCCTTGAGTTAACCCATAATCTAACAACATCTGCTTCATCCATATGAGTTGAGTACAACATCCACCAGTAGCTATATATTCTGCCTCTACCGTGCTTAAAGATTTGGAGTTCTGCTTCTTACTTAACCATGATACCAGGTTTTTCCCAATGAAGAAACAACCACCAGAAGTACTCTTTCTGTTATCCACGTTTGCAGCCCAATCAGCGTCACAATAAGCAACTAAACTCACATCACTTTCCTTAGAATACCATAGCCCATACTGTTCAGTTCCTTTAACATACTTCAAAATCCTTTTAGCAGCAATCAAGTGAGATTCTTTTGGGGCTGACTGATATCTAGCACAGGCTCCAACACTGTACATAATGTATGGTCGACTAGCTGTCAAATAGAGAAGACTTCGAATCAGACTTCGATACACTGTTGAGTCTACTGGTTGACCTACATCATCTTTGGATAGTTTTGTTGATGTCGAGATAGGTGTTCTAGGAGATTTGCAGGATTCCAGCTCGAACTTCTTAACTAGGTTCTTAGCATACTTTTCTTGTGAGACAAAGTATTCATCAGTGCCTTGTTTCACCTGAAGTCCTAGAAAGTAAGTCAATTAACCAACCATGGACATTTCAAATTCCTTTTTCATAACTTCTACAAGTTCATCAGTACACTTCTGCAGAGTGGAACCGGAAACAATATCATCCACATAAATTTGAGCTATTGTGACATGCTTTCCAGTAGATTTGACAAATAAAGTCTTATCTACGTTTCCTCGATCATATCCTTGTTGCAGAAGATACTGTGTCATTCGTTCATACCATGCTCTTGGAGCCTGTTTAAAACCATATAGAGCTTTCCTCAACTTGTATACATGATCTGGATGATTCAGATCCTCAAACCCTTTTGGTTGTGCCACAAAGATATCCTCATGCAAGTAACCATTTAAAAAGGATGTCTTGACGTCCATCTGAAACAGTGTGAACCCTAATATACACGCAACTGCCAAAAGAATCCTGATTGATTCAAGTCTTGCCACTAAGCAAAAGTCTCATCATAATCAATTCCTTCTATTTGAGTATATCCTTGAGCTACAAGTATGGCTTTATTCCTTACAATATTTCCAACTTCATCTGTCTTATTTTTGAAAATCCACTTTGTTCCTATTATGTTCACATCAACTGGTTTAGGAACAAGATCCCAAACATGATTTCTTTCAAACTGGTGAAGCGCCTCTTGCATAGCTTTAACCCAATTTTCATCTTGTAAGGCCTCTTTAACATTATTTGGTTCAATCTTGGAGGTGTAGCAAGAATATCCAGCCAACTCGATCAGATTATTCCTTACTTTGCTTCTTATACGAATTCCAGCAGTTGGATCACCAATAATATTGACTGATGGATGACTCTTCTGAATTCTGGTTGACTTATTCCTTCCGTCACAATCAGATAAGGGCTGGCATGCCCCAGAATTATCATCATCTTCGTTTGGTTCATCTGGTGACTTCAGCTAAATGTCAGGATGTGGCTCAGACATAGAATCTGACACAATTATGGCTTCTGGTTCATCTGGCTCATCATCCACAACAACATTCACGGACTCCGTGATTGTTTGAGTCCTCCTGTTATATACCCTATAAGCTCGACTTTTGGTGAGTATCCAAGGAATACTCCCTCTTCGCTCGTAAGCTCAAACTTTCCTCTTTGTTCACGGTCAATCAAAATAAAACATTTAGTACCAAAGATATGGAAATATTTCAAGTTAGGTTTTTTACCTTTCCATATTTCATATGGAATCATGGATGTACCAGGCCTTAGATAGATCCAATTGATTGTATGACATGCAGCGTGCAATGCCTCAGTCCAGAAATGTTGTGGTAGACGAGATGCATTCAGCATAACCC